GTCTAGAGTGGAGATACAGAGGGGAGGTCCAGAGGAGAGGTCCAGAGGGGAGATATAGAGGGAAGGTTTAGAAGAGAGGTATAGAGGGGAAGTCTAGAGTGGAGATACAGAGGGGAGGTCCAGAGGGGAGATATAGAGGAAAGGTTTAGAAGAGAGGTATAGAGGGGAAGTCTGGAGGGCATGTATAGAGGGGACATCTAGAGGAGACATCAAGAGGGGAGGTCTAGAAGAGAGATTCAGATACTGGGGGGATGTCCAGGAGAAGGTATAGTGTGGAGTAAGGAGGTCTACAGAGGAGGTCTAGAGGGGAGATCCAGAAGTAGATACAGGGGGAAGTCCAGAGAGGAGGTCCATATGGGAAATCCAGAGGTAAGGTCTAGAGGAGAGATCCAGGGGAAGGTCCAGAGAGGAGGTCTAGAGGAAAGATCCAGGGGAAGGTCCAGAGAGGAGGTCTAGAAGAGAGATCCAGGGCAAGGTCCAGTGAGGAGGTCTAGAGAAGAGATCCAGGGGAATGTACAGAGGGGAAGTACAGAAGGTCAATACTGTTCTCCTTGTTCGTGTCTGCATGTCTGCTTCTATCGCATTGCAACCGTAATTCTCTGACAGAAAATGTAGGTGAGGGGGTACCTTCCTTCCCTCTCAACCCCCTCTCAGATTAGCATTCACAGACACCTCCCTTCCTGAATTCCTGTGTGTCTGTGCCGTGTCTGTGTGTGCGTGCGCGTGTATATGTGTGTGTGCGTGTGTACGCGTGCTTGTATGTGTGTATGCACGCATGTGTGTGCGTGTGCCTGTGTCTATGCATATGTGTGTGGGGCGGAGGGGGAGGGGGGCTCTCCTCGAAAGCAACGAACTAGAACAAGCATCTTTATTACGCGGTCATTCGACTAGTTTTACTGCACGCTAACCGATTCCGCGGGCCGTCGGGGCGCGCACACAGAGCGCCTACACCGTGTCTTTATATCGCAGCTCGCGCGACAATCACGCCTCGCTTGTCACACTTGACACATGTGTCGTCCGACGGCTTGTTTGCTCAAGGTCCGGGGGTTTGCACAACTGGTCTCATTAGCGCCCGGTTACTTAATGAACTACATGAGCGCGCGCTGTGGGGACGATTGTCACTCGACTTTACGGCATTTGACAACATTCTCGCGCGCACGCATGGCCCGCCGTGGTGCTGCGTGGCTGAAGGGAAGAGTGGTGTAGTTTTATGGGCAAGCACAACATTCAGAGCTGCGTTGCGGAAGGGCTCTCCGAATGCAGCTAAACAAACAGCGATCTGAATGAGGGAGGGGGGTACGATGCGGGAGTGGGAGCAGGCGGTGCTGTGCCTGACACACCCCTCTCTCTCTCTCTCTCTCTCGCTCTCTCGCTCGCGCTTTCTCTCCCTC